GAATGGATGGAAGGAAGGAAGGATGGATGGAAGGAAGGAAGGATGGTTGAAAGGAAGGAAGGATGGATGGATGGATGGAAGGATGGATGGAAGGAAAGAGGGATGGATGGATGAATGTATGGATGGAAGGAAGGAAGGATGGATGGATGGAAGAAAGAAGGATGGATGGATGGATGGATTGATGGATGGATGGAAGGAAGGAGGGAGCCAAGGAAGGAGAGAAGTTGGGAGAGATGCATGATCACCAGGAGAAGGTGATCTTGCCTAGAACAATCTTTTCTTTTGCTTATTATCTTTCTTGCCCTACCTTCCTTCCTATGAAAACCCTCCATTTTGTACAACTCCCTTCAGAGCTCCCCTCCACCTGGTAGATGGGATGCTGCTCAATTCACAAATCATTTAATAAAGCCAGTTAAGCCTTCAAATTTACTCAGTGGAATTTGGTTTTTTGTTTTTGATGGATGGATATGAAGGGTGGCAGAATATGGCACTCCAGAATATGCCTCTTTGGCATAAGGATTATTTTGAGCTGATTATTTTCAGAAATAGCAGACACAGGAGAAGGTCTGAAAACAGAGCAAAAGTTATCCTTTTGTAAGGGAACTTTATATTCACACAAGAAATGTCCATTAAGAGCGTCTCCCTCTCCGTCCCAGGAGAAGGATGACTAAATCACTAGAAACTCGTCCCTGGAGAAGGCAGGGTCTTACATCTGTATAACAAACCTTACTTTCGTTTACCGTACTTTTCCCAGTCATGGGCACCTCCCCATAACTGGCTTCCCCCACGCCCTCCTCTCTTTTGTCTTTAGCTGAAGGTGGTACTGACGCCTTGAGTTCTAAGTCCCCATTCTCCCGTGGGTAATCTCCCACATATGCATGAGACATACACCTTAACAAACGTGTTTGTTTTCCTCTTGTTAATCTGTTTCTTGGTCCCAGCCAAGAATTTAGGAGGGCAGAGGGAAAATTATTTTTTCCTCTCCTACAGATGGAAGGAGGGCCGGTTGAGTGGATGGGTGGTTGCAAGAAGGGAGGGAGAGAAGGAGTGAAGAGAGGGAGAGGTGGGTGGGTGGGTGGGTGCGTGGGTGGCATTTCCCCTTAGGGACCACTGTCTCACAGACCACCCTCACTCAAACCTGGTTTGTCTTCTGATGGAGTTCAGGACGCACTACCCCAAAATACAGCTCCTGGGCATGTTGAGTATTTTAAGCTGAAGGAGTTTGAGAAAACAGAGGCAGGGAGATCCCTCGGACCTCTGCCCCCTCCCTCACCCTTCTTCCCCATCACAGTCAGAAGACCCTCACGTACCGTCACGTGACAGTTGCCCTCCCTATACCAGGAGGGAAGGAGCATCCTTATCTCCAAAGACAAAGGGAACCAAGAAGAATCCAAATAAAGAGGCCTTGCTAAGTTTCCCCCATTTACAACACTTGCCTTAACCTGTCATTATCCCCCATGACTGTCTCCTCTTCTGCAAACCCCCCACACAGAAATACGCAAGCCTAAGTGTTCCTCTGGGTCTTTCCTGCCTTGCGAAGTCTCCCATGCCACGTAGACCTTACATTACGTAAGTGTGGATGTTTTTCTCCTGTTGATCTGTCTTTGTCAGTTTACTTTTCGGACCCAGCCAGGAACCCTAGAGGGCCGAGGAAAACTTTCGACTCCCCTGCACTCCCCGGGCCTAGTCAGGAAGAGTTCCAACCTATGTAGCTCCTCGACCCTCCAGGAAGAGCTTGCTGCCGGGATCCAAGACCCCCTTGCCCTCACCTGTGCTGGCGTAGTGGATCTTCCAGCCTGTGTGGTCCCCCGACTGATCAGTGACAAAGGTGATGGTCATGGCATTGCTTTTAGTTTCAATCCTAGGGGGCAATGTTGTCCCACAAAATGGGCCATATTCCTCTTTGTTTGAATCTGAAAGCAGAAGGGGCTCTGTCACCTCCGGACCCGCCAGAGCCAGAGGAGGTCTAGACCCAGGGAGCCGGACCTTGAGGGTGTCGTAGGGACACTGGGTGTCCGGGTGTGTCTCCACGTCGAAGGACCCCACAAAGTCCAGGATAATGCTGAACCTCTCCTCCAGCTGGATGCCATAGGTGCAACTTGAGAGTTTGGGGTACGGCTGCGGGTATTCAGGGCTGCTGAGCACCCCCGACCGGTTGGTGAAGACCTGACCTGAACACAGGGCTGAGAGAGGACGGGGCGCTGTGAGAAGGTGCCAGCAGCCTGATTCCGCCCCCCCTGGCTGCCCTCACTGCCCTCTGGCCCAGTCAGATCGAACACCCCACCTCATGGGTGAAGGAACAATCTAGAGTTTCTTGGGCTTCCTGGATTTGGCTGAAACAGGTGGCACTCAGATGTACATCCTCCAGGACCCCACCCACACCCCCAGGGGCTCCTGGGCCTGGGGAGTTCTGGGCCCGGGTCACAACTCTGGGGTTGACAAAGTGAGCGAGGTTAGACTCTGCTGAGGGGGAAGGAGACGAGGGGGTCCTTCATCCACCCCTGACCCCAGCAACTCCCAAATTCATCCACCACGGGGCTCCCACCTGCACCCAGCTGGGACCAGTCCAGCCTTCCCTGGGTCCCCACGGGGAACAGAGGGGCCTCCCCTTGTCCACTTTCCCTCCCACCCTGGGTCTGGGCACTGCCCTGGGGGTTAGTTGTGGGAAGTTCAAGTTCACACTGATCAAAAGCATGTCTGGTGCCCTCTTTCCCCACCAGGCCAGATGGTCGTGCGCTTGCAGAGTGAGCTTCTTTCTGCACCAGCCATGGGAGGCATCTGCCCAACCCCACCCCAGGCTGCAGAGGGTGTCTGAGCTGGGAGGCTCCCAGAAGCGAGGAGTCCCAGCACAGCCCACCTTCCTCCGTGGGCCTGCTCCCCACAGGGCAGAGGGAACAGCCCCTGGATGCGGGGGGCCAGCCTGCCCATCGATGGCTATCTCCCTGGGCTTTTCTGCTCTGGGTCAGGCTCCCCCAGCCCACCCCCCCTGGGGCAGGAGTCATACCCTGAACAGGAGCTGGTCCAAGGATGCTCCCAGCTCAGCCGCTGGGGACCCAGTGGGAGAGTAGAGAGAGCTCGGTCTCCCTGTGTGAACTCAAGCAAGCCCTCGTCCCTCTCTGGGCCTCAGTGCCCCATCTACAGAATGGATTGGGGGATGCTGGACAAGGCTTTCTGGCAAAGAGTACAGTGGCCCCATGGAGGGGGTTCCCACCAACTAGGGTTCATCCAGGCTGTGATGAGGGGAGGGAGAGAGTGGAGGGGGCCAGGGTGCACACCACTGCCCTCTCCCCACCATGCCACCCAAGAGACACGAAGCAGTAGGTGGAGCCGGAAGCAGGTTTATTTTTAGGTCCATGGAGGGATGCATGGGGTGGATGGGGGGCTGTAGGTAGCAGCAATCTCGGCCCAACCCAGACCGGAGCCAGAGGTGAGGCTAGGGGCTCTGCTCTGGAAGAGAGAACAGAGAGACAGGGAGAGACACTGGGGGAGAGGCCCCAAGCCGGGGAAGGCAGGGGCGGCACTGAGGCTTGGGGCTGCCCCCTCCCCAGGGCACCCCCGGGTTTCCCATCTGGGCACCTGGCACCTGGCAGGAGCTTGGAGGGTGCGGGCAGTAGAGGCCAAAGGGGTCGGCCTGCTGGGGAGCCAGCCGCCTTGAGCGCGCCCTGCCCCGACTGGGAAGTTTTGTGCAGGGAAGCCTGTGTGAGCCGAGCCTCTGTTCCCCACTCCTCCAACCTGGGAGCCCAAGGAGGGCGAGGTGGCTGTAACAGGGGCCCAGAGCCCAGACACGGTAGGTACATAGTGGGGGCCCAACACATATGATCCAAGGGATGGGCTGAAGACCCATGAGAGGGAGCCAAGGATGGAACGGAGGAGAGGGAGGGATTCCGGATTGTCAACGATGGACAGATGGCAGGAGGGGACCGAAGATCAAAGACGGCAGGAGGGGACAGCCTGCCAGGAGGAGTGCCCAGTAGGCCAAGGTCAGTGGTCCCTTCAGACCCCTGGGCAGAGCACTTATGGCTTTTAGGAGCTGGCTGTATTCTGGGCCAAGGTGGGGGCTGGCCTGGGCACAGTGTCCGCCCCATACCTTCCCCAGCCCCCGCTCACCTGAACGGGTGCAGCTCACCTGAGCAGGTGCGCTTGTTCCTGTGGAGGACGTAGCCCCTGCGGCAGGAGCAATAGAAGCCACCCAGGTGGTTGTGGCAGTGGTGGTCGCAGGGAGATGCCTGTCCCGGCGGCACCTGGCACTCATCGATGTCTGGGGGAGGGGCAGGTCAGGCAGGGGGTCAGCGGGGAGGAGCCGAGGCGGTACTGGGGCCGGAGCAGACTCGGCCTCACGGCTGACCCAGCAGGTGTCTCCTCATGTCTGGAAGTGGCTGATGCCCGGCCAAGCATCGAACAGGCCGAGGCTCATTATAACCTCCTCAGAACACTTGGAGGGAGATGTCAGTACCCCTCTTTTTTCAAACGAGCGACGGGTTAAGTGTCCCTGCTCAAAGTCACGCAGCTAATGGGCGGCCAGCGGGCGGAAGCAGCCAATGAGCCCAAGGAGCGGGGCTGTGACCCAGGTTCCAGCAAACCCTGCTGCAGCCTCCTGAGGAGCACAGAGAGGTGGAGCCACTTGCCCGAGGTCACACAGCGGGTCCCTGCAGGAGCCCCTATCTGAAACCAAGTGTTCGGCTGGAAGCCCACGCACAGGGAGCACAGGCTGGGTGTCCTCAACGGGGCTCAGGCCGGTGGGGCTGCACTTCCCATCCGGAGGGGGGCTCACTGGGCCCTGGCCTCACGGGGGGGCGGGGGGGCGCTAGGAGCACGTCCCTGGCTCAGCACCCCGCACACCATCGGGCTCAGCCGGAGGGCAGGGGTCACAGCTGTTACTGATATTTGCCCTGGGGCTGGTGTTGGATGGAGGGCTGGACTCCTCGCCCGCTGGTTTGCGCCCGCTGGTTTGGCAGGAACCCAGCCTCGGGGAGGTGAGGGGACCGAAGGGAGAGCTGGCCTGGCCTAAGACAGAGTCACCCCGTGGGCAGATGGGCCATCTCGCGTCCCTCCCCCGGACCCCAGCCTCCTCTCGCCTCACCCTCTGCTGCATAGAAGGCCTCAAAGCCCGTGAACGGCTTCTCGTTGGAGTAGTCGGAGCGGAAGGTGACGTCCAGGCTGGAGGCCGGCGAGTAGAAGGTGTCATTGCCGGGGGCGCGCTCCGTGTCTGTGCTCTCCTGCCCGCACAGCGTGGTCAGCACCTTGCTCCCCGAGCTCAGCTGTAGGGTTGGAGTCACGGGGAGGGAGGGCGAGACGCAAGGCCTGCACTCGCTCCCTCCCTCCCTGCTGCCAGGGGTCCCTGTCCCCCAGCCCTCGAGAGGGTCCGGGTCGTCCCCCCTGCCAGCTGTCGGCACCTTGACATAGTCGTACTCGCAGAGGTAGGAGAGCTCCAGGTGGAAGTGGGTGAAGTAGAGGCGCAGACGGTAGCCGGGGGGTGCCGTCAGGGTCCAGCGCTGCTCCTGGTTGTTGGCGTACTCCCCGGGGAAGCCAGGCGATGCCAGGCGCCCAAACATGGGCTCAGGCCACTGTGGGCCGGGGAGTGTGCCTGCCCAGCCCCACAGCAAGCCCAGGAAGACCAGCAGCCTGAGGGCGGCGGCAGGGGGGCGGGTGAGGAGCCCTGTTCTGACCCCTCGCCCCTGCCGGGGAGGCGGTGGGGGAGCTCCCACTCACCTCATTGTGCACCCGTCCAGCTGGCCAGGCCCTGTCTGGAGCCGCATGGTGTCTCACCTTTGGTCTGTTTGTCCAATGCCTGGCCCTGCCCCCAGCCTCCCTGACCCTGGGATTCTGGGAGTTGACCCATGACTCCGGATTGCCCCGAGTGTCAGGCAGTGAGGGGAGGTCGCTCTGGGAGCCAGGAGGTGGACCTGAGCGACACAGCCCCAGAATAAATCCTGGCTCTGTCCCTTACCCTTAACCTCCGTGTTCCCTCCCTCAGTGTGTGACTTCCAAGGCCAGCCGGGGGGGTGGGGGGGGTGGGCAATGACAATGATCAAGACAATGATGGCTTCTGGGGAGACTTGGGGATGTGTCTATTTTTGCTCCCTCCCTTCTGCATCTACTTTTTCCCTATGCAAGATGGGAAAGAGAATTTTTAAAAACATGTGTGCATGAGGATGGGATATGGGAGAGGAGGCAGCCTCACCATTTTGAAAGCTGGAAACACAGACGGACAGGTGAAAACTGCCCTCTAGAAAGCAACTCTAAGTCCCGCTGAGCAGGGAGGGACAGCCAGAAAACAGTGCTGAGCAGATAGACTGAATGTTGACAGCCCCAGCCGTCCTCCCGATTCAACTCCTAGAACCAGGCAGCCCCCCAGGCAGGCTTCTCCCTTGTTGCTGGACAAGTGTGGCCAGTCCAGGAGGAAGGGCCTGAGGACACTGACTTGGAAGGTTCTCCCGGCAAATGGCTCTGCCATGTCTCCCGGGGTGAAAACTCAGCGGACAAGCCCCAGTCGTGTGCTCAGAGCTTCCAAATAGTTTTTTAGTCCCCACTCTTACATATGAGCAGAACATTCAAGGAAAACCTCAGACACGAGAGAGAGTCTTCTAAATCAGCCAACCAACCAAAGAGTACAGAAACAAAGTAGGGAGGAGAAAATGCCCCAAACCAAAGTGAAAGAATCATTAACATCTTCAGAGGGAAAAGAGAAGCAAGAACAAGAAGCAAGAACAGGAAACTACTTAAAAAGAACATTCAGGGTGCCTGGTTGGCTCAGTCGGTTAAGCGGCTGCCTTCGGCTCAGGTCATGATCCCAGGGTCCTGGAATCGAGTCCTGCATCAGGCTCCCTGCTCAGCGAGGAGCTTGCTTTTCCCTCTCCCTCTGCCTGCCACGCTCCTTCTCTCTCTGACAAATAAACAAATAAAATCTTTAAAAAAAAAAATAAAAAGGGGGCGCCTGGGTGGCTCAGTCGTTAGGTGTCTGCCTTTGGCTCAGGTCATGATCCCAGGGTCCTGGGATCGAGTCCCACATTGGGCTCTCTGCTAAGCGGGGAGCCTGCTTCTCCCTCTCCCACTCCCCCTGCTTGTGTTCCCTCTCTCGCTGTCTCTCTCTCTGTCAAATAAATAAATAAATAATCTTTAAAAAAAATTAAAAAAAGAAAAAGAACATTCAGAGAACAAAGAATAGTTTTGGGAAATAAAAAGTATGATAGAAATGAAAAGCTCAATCAAATATTTGGAAGATAAGATGGAAGAAATCTTCCAGAAAATAGAGCAGGAAAGAAGTGAAAAACAGTAAAGATGAGGACATTAACAGATTTGTACCGTATGTCAAAGACTGAAGAAAGAGGAATTCCAGACAGAGATAAAGGAAATAGAGGAGAGGAAATTATAAAGAAAAGAATGCAAAGAAATGTCCCCAAACAGAACATGAGTTTGTTGACTGAAAGTGTCCCCAGTGCCCAGAACAATAGATGAAAATAGAAGTTTACACATCATATCTCAAAAGGCTCGAGAGAAAAATGATTTTTTCTACAAACTGAGAGAGGAGAGAGAAAACAGAACAATCTGCATACAAAATATCAGGAAAAGAATTATTTTAGAGCTCCCCAAACAACACCAGAAACTAGAAGCCAGCATCCAAGATGGCCTTTAAAGTTTCCTGCTTTGGGGTCCTCACACCCTTGTATGCAGTCTCCTCTCAAATGGAGTAAGGCTTGTGGGTGGGATATGGCTGAAGTGGTGTGTTACTTTGGGGCTCGGCCATATAAGACCCTGCAACTTCCATCTGGCTCTCTGGGATCTGTTGCTCTGGGAAGCCAGCCGCCATGTTGTGAGGACACTCAGTGTCCCTATGGAGAGGTTCGCATGGGGAAGAACGGAGGCCTCCTAGCAACCACCGGTGTGATTTGCTGGTCACGTGAGGGAACCGCCTGGGAAGCTGATCCTCTAGCTCCAGTTAAGGTCAGGTGATTGCAGCCCTGGCCTACAGCTTTACGGCAACCTTACCAATGACTCTAGGCTGGATCAACTAGCTAAGCCACTTCCCAAATCCTGACCCGCAGAAAAGACATCACTCTGCTATGTCTGGGCTAATCTTCAACACAGCAATAGACAATCTATGAAAATGGAAAAGAGCAAATCCCAAAATGCTAAAGGAAGATGATTTCCAACATAGAATTCTATACCCATCCGAATTCTATACCCACCAATTAAGCACGAAGATGGAACAAAGACATTTCATGGGTGTCAGAGTTGTAAAACTTTGCATCCCCTGTCCGCTTCCTCAGAAAGTTACCACAGAATATGCTCCACCCAGACAAGGGAGTAAACCAAGAAACAGGAAGGTATGGAGTCCAAGGAACAAGACTTCTGATAGGGAGTTCCACTGGGGCTAGTCAGAATGCTCAGGACAGAACACTCGTAGAGTCTAGAGGTTTAAAAAAAACTTTTTCCTTAGTTTTTGTTTCTTAAATGAGAGTGTTATAAACTTTCTGGTATAAATCATAATGGAGAAATGCAGATTATGCATATTAATATTTCCTATTAGTGAAATTTCCAATTCAGTGTGATCGTGAATTGACTATGAGTTATAATGTGCTGGATACTAGGATCTCATAACCAAAAAATTGATTAGCATTCTGTCCAGATCCTCATGACATGTACTGAGTCCAGAGATCTTAAAAAAAAAAAAAAAAAAAAAAAGCTTTCAAGATTTGGTAAAACGTTCGAGGCTAAACTGGTGATGAATTTATTACGAATTAAGCAAATGCGAAACACCTCCAGGGGCAAGCAGCGGCTGCACGGGGGATAGACTCGAGTCCCGGCCGAGAGCGGTGTTTACAGAGATGTGATGGCACTAACACTATAAACATGGGCCTGACCGAGGTGATCACGTCGTTGTTGAGTGTGGTTGGGTCAGGGAAGGAAAGAACTAAACCCTCAACTTCCCTAGTGGCAAGTCAACAGATTATGACTGGAACCGACAAGCTAAAACGCGGTAATACAAGAGGATACAGACGTGCAGGTAAATACCAGAACCATCAGCTGGGAGAGGTACACGTGGCTGGCTCTGCAGGAAGCCAAGTGGCTGAGGAGGGCCGCCATTTTCCTTCTAATGATCCACCTGCAACTACTGGAATCCTTAAACCAGGGCAGCGCTAGTTTCGATAAATAACTTCCAAACTCTAGGCAGGGGGGTGCCTGGCTGGCCCAGTCAGTAGAGCATGCGACTCTTGATCTTGGGGTCGTGAGTTGGAGCCCCATGTTGGGCATAAAGCTTACTTAAAATAACAACAAAACCCAAGAAGCTCTAGACAGGATCAATTTTATCCTCGATGCCACAGGCAGGGCCTGTTCATGACCCTCTCTGGGATTTCTGGGACCTCGGGGCTCGGGCCACGCCTGCACCAAGTGCCCCACTCCTGCTTCAGGCCATCAGTCTGTGTCTCCATCACATCTGTCTAGATGTGGGGTCCAGCGCTAGTCCTTAATGTGCACCCCTTCAAGGAGGCTTTACTAGAAGTTGGGGAAGTGGAGGGATTTACACAGAGACAACCTCAACGTCCAGGTCAGGCATCCTTGTTTCCCCAACGACCCCTCTCTTTCAACAACTTGGGGCCTCCTCTTCCCTTCCTCTGCCCCGACGGGCAGTCCTGATTCCCACTAGTTGCACGAGCACCACATGACCCATGCTGCTTAACAGAGCCTGTCACAGGTGAGGACCATTGCTCCCAGAGACTTGACAGACAAGGCAAGCAAGCCAGGAGCTGTGAGCGGCTCAACGCCACAGTCAATGGGGAGGCAGAGTTGAGATTCAGATTCAGGCCCAGAACCCCTGCCAGCAGCATTCCTGGGGTCACCCTAGGGATGGACCTTCCTGGAGCTTGGTAAGATGAGCTGGGGGAGAAGAGTGGATGTCTGGTGATGTCCCTGTTGGGGCCCAAGGGTGCTTGGGCTGAGCTGCAGAGGAGGCACGCAGGGCAGGTCGAGTGGAGTGGCTCTCCAAAGGCCGGCTGCCTGGTGTCTTCCACCGTGTGCTTACTAGGTGTGTGGCCTTGGGCATGTCATCTACCTTCCTCACGAGCAGCTGGAAGGTTTAAGGAAGGAGACCTGGGTTGGGTCAGGGCCTCATAAGTAGCTACCACGTCTTCCTTTAACGGACACTCTGCCGTGTGACCCACACATCATGACCCTACCTCATCTCCCCACGAGTGGGGAGACCTGGGGAAACAATGTTCACCCCCAAGCCTGGGTGTAAGATTGTTCTAGAGTTGGGGGGTGGTGGAATGGTGAAGTTAACTTGCAATCACATGTCAGAAGGTGCTCCAAGTCCAGTGAGGGGCTGGGGGTGGGGTGCGTGGAGCCCAGAGCCGGCAAGTGACCTCCCTGATGCCACTCAAGAAGTGGGCTGTGCAGCTGGAGGCTTGTTCCCCACCCCCATGATGACTGCAGTTCCAGGCCCCCTGGAAACTATCAGGTCCAAGGTAGCTGCGCAGGGCAGGTGCAGGTCGGAGGTGTTCTAGCACCCCACCTCCCTGCCGGGGCCACTCCCTTGTCCCCTTCCTGCCAAGTCTTCCAGGTCAACCCATCCTCTGGCAGTGCTTCTGTCCAGGGTGGAGAAAGGGGTTGGTGAGGTCAGCTCTTCTAGAGAGCAGGGCCCTTTCCTGCAGACCCTGAGACAAGAGTGGGCTGGAGGCCCCCTTCCCCAACCTGCACCCTGTTATGGTGGCTCTTCTCCTCCCAGGAGAGCCTCAGTCCTGGTTGTTGGGAAGGGTGAGGTGCCTGGGGCAGAGGATGGAGGTTCAGGACCTTGGAGAGGGGACAGTCCTGTGCCCACAGAGTCCTGGTACGGCCACCCACACCTGCTTTCTCAACCTCTCAACCCTTGGGGGGTACTTCTGAGAATTTACCAGAGCATGCTCATGGGTTGGCAGGCAGGATTTGAACCTAAGTCTGAATCCTGAGCCAAGTCAGGGCACCTGATGTGCTTAAACAGGCCCAAGTAACGACACCAACTACGCACCAGCCAGCCACCTCTGGAGCCCCATCCAGCGTCGCCCTGAACCCCCAGGATGGGACCTGACAACCCTGTGAGTGACCTGAATTCTTCTGAGACAACAAAGCCCCTGAGTGACCCCACCATGATCTTCTCAACCCCACAGCCCTTGCCCCAGGGGTCTGTCATCTCCACCCTCTGTGGGGCTTGGTGAAGGAATGACTACAGCAGTGTCTTGGTACAGATTTGGGCCCGGTCTGCTAACCGCTGCGTCCCCTGGTACCAGAGGTCAAGGGGCCAGTCCCAGGCGACACAGAAGGGCCGGGTCTGCCTATTCACCGACACGTGGCGGATACCTGGAGGCCAGACGCTGGGGTCAGCTCCGAGCCCAATACACAGGAACGCCCAACACTGGCTGATGTGGCACCTGCCTGGGCCCATTCAAGATCTGGGGACACACGATTCGGAATTTGTTATAAATACACGTGTTTGGTGAGTGAGGGCGACAGAAGGTGGAGAAGGTGCTGTACACGGCTGGTAGAGGCTTGGAGGCTGGACGCCACATCGACAGAGAGACAGTCCGCCCAGCAGGGCGGCCCGGGCAGCATTCTGGGGCCTGTAACACTTGCTTGGTGGGCACACCGGCGGGGCGGGGGGTGGGGGGTCTCGTCCAGGGCTCGTCGCGCCCAGGCGCCCTGGAGGCTCCCTGGCCTGAGGTCCTGGGCGGTGTCAGCAGGGGCGCCTGGGCTCAGCTCACATCATTCAGGGCCTGGTGGGACAGAAGGCCTCGTCAGGAGGATGCTGGGTCATGTGGGGGCTCGGGAGGCCCCGAGTCCCCTTGGTTGTGGCCCCGGCCGACAGGCGGCTCACCTTGCGTGCAAACTCGGGCAGGACGAAGGCGGCCTGGTGCACGTCTGAGTTGTAGTACTTCAGCTGCATCTGCTCCACCTGCTTCTGTGTCAGAGGCTGCACGGGCTTCTGGAAGTCGGTGCTCTGGGGACAGGGCATGCGGGCATCAGGGAAGTGCTTTCGGCGCCCGCCTGCCCTCCCCCTCCGGCCCCCGGGAGGGCACGCAGCTCACGGGATTTTTGCTGCACAGCATGAAGCCTATCTGGCCGCTGGGGTAGGTGGGGATGGTACAGTACGCATAGGCCACCACGGGGAAGAGCGACTTGCAGAACTGCCGCATCTGCTTGATGAGGTCCAGGTGCAGCCACTGACACTCGCCTGTGCGGGGAGCAGGGGGGCATCAGCCCCAGCAGGCCGGCCGGCCAGCCAGCTGCCCCGCCCCTACTCCCATGCTGGAAGCCTGCTCACCCTGCCCACGCTGGAGGGCTGCCCCGCTTGCCCGCCCCCCGCGGCCCCCCATGCTGGCCTGCTCACCCTGGCAGCAGAGGACGCCATTGTCCTTGAGGGCCGTCTTCATGAGCTGGTAATAGGACTCCTTGAAGAGACTCTCTGCAGGGCCTGCACCGGCGGGACAAGGGACAGTGAACACTCCGGCTGAGACCTCCCAACCCGGGCCGGGATTTGAACCCCGGTCTGTGGATCCAGAAACCAACCACAAAGACGGTGCTTTTGAGGAGCGCAGGGATCCACTGTCCCAGTATCTGAGGGGGCTCCACGTTTCCATCCCATTCCTTGGGGGGGGGTCCTCACTGCCACTGTGTCAGGGGACTCTGCACCCTGGGCCTTGGGTTGAGACTAGGTCCCACCCCTCGCCCCGATGCTAGCCTATTAAGAGCAGAGAGGAGACTGAAGAGGAAGCTGGGGCCTCCGTGGGCCACGGCCACAGCCCCACTCTCCTCCAGGTCCCCAGTCAACTCGTAACTTTGGGCAGCAGCATCCTCTCCCTCCTCTGCTGAGCCAGGTCTGGGGTGGGGAGGGGAGCGACCAAGAAGGGGAAGGTGCAGCTCTCACTCTGGACCCGCCTGTCCTCCGCTCTGCAAATCAGCTGTGGGCCCAGCGGGAAGGCTGGCCTCTGGACGGTGGCTGCCCGGGGCCCCAAGGCCCATGCCTTGCTTACCCATAGGGTCTGAGGAGTCAGTGATGATAACATCGAAGGCATCCTGGTTCTGTTTCATGAACTCAAAACCGTCGCCCACGTGTAGGGTCAGTTTGGAGCTGGAGTAGCCCACGGCCATGCCCGGCAGGAACTTCTTGGAGACCTGGATGACGTCCTGGGGAGGGAGGAGGGACCCGGCTGGGCCGTGGGGGTTGAGGGCCCTCCAGCCCTCCCTCTAATACTCTGGTCACTTGGGCAAGCCATTCATTTTGTGGAAACCTGGTACTCTGCTGCCTCGCCTTCCATCATGGAGGGGTGGCTCCTGCCTCACCATCCCTGTTCTCTGTCCCCAGACCAAACCGTCCCATCCGAGTGACTTTCTTGCTGGGTCAGAGGAAGGGGAGTCCAGCCTCCACCAAGAGGACCTCCCCTGCCTCCACATGGCCAGCTGCTTCTCATCCAGGCCTCAGCTGAAACCCATCTCCTTGAGGCAAGCACTGACCAGCCTTCACCCCTAAGCTCTGAGCCTGCTTTTTCCTTTCATGCCCTGCGCCCACCGTGTCTTCATCGGGACTCCTCCTCACTAAAATATAACTTCAAGGGGGCAGGGACTGGACCTGTCCATTCACCACTCTACCACCAGCATCTAGATCATTGGCTGCCACGTAAAAGATGCTCATTAAAAACGTGCCGAGCGTAAAGTGTAGACACACAGGTAGTTGCAATGCTCCTGGGTCTTGCCTGGGACTTGACGTAAAAACCAGCTTAGTCTTACTAAGAACCAGCATCGTGGCACACCTACTATGTGCCAGGCCCTTTGCTACCCAGTTTTCCTACCGAATCCTCCCAACATGTTTTTGAGATGAACAAAGAGGCCAAGCAACATTGAGCGACTCGCCCAAGGGTATACAGCCAATTCAGGGCGGAACTGGGATTCGAACCCAGAGCCCGGCACTCACCTCATCAATCTCACACTGGACCACAGACTCCACGGAGGAATGCTTCAACACCTCCCGCAGGACACCTCCGTCCCCACCCCCGATGATCAGCACCTAGGAGGGGCAGGATCATTCAGAAGCACAGCCCCGAGCCTGAGCACCAGCCCCACCAAAGAGGCTCCAGCAGGATTCGGGGGCCCGGGACCGCACGGGGCAGATGCACTCACACAACACCATCCCAACAGGGTAGGTTTCTCAACTCCTCAGATGCACAGACAGACCTCATTACTTCATTTGCTACTCTCAGAAATGCTTTCCTGCCTCAGGAACCTGTCACAAGGTGTCCCCTTTTCCTGGAAACTCCTCCCAGGACTGCTCCTTCTTATGAAGCAGGCCTCAGCCTGAACTGTTTGCTCCTCAGAGGCTGTGGCAGCCCCACCCCTTGTGAAGTGGGCCACTCGCCCCACTTACTTCCCTGGTTCTTGCTAGCACTTTCTGACAACCATTTAGGAAGCACCTGGGCTGAGCATGGGCACAGCTGGGGCCTCCTGCACTGTTCTGTGGGGCACTGAGCAGTGGGCTTCCTATCTCCGGGCTCGGGGCTGAACCCTGGCAGGAGCGGCGATACCTTCCGTGGGTTTGGGTGGCTGCAGAGGGGCAGGTTGGCTATCATCTCCTGGTAGGAGAACTCGTCCCTCTCCGTGCATTGGATGACACCGTCCAACACCAGCACGTTGCCGTAGCTCTTACTGAAGGCAGGAGTGACAGTCAGGGACCTGGGTCCCCTGGAGTGGGGGCAGTGCGCTCCCACTCGCCCCCGGTGAGAAGAATCTCCCCCAGCCTGCCAAGGGGTCCCAGGGGTGAGTGCTGGGGGTGACACGTGGCGAGGATGGCCAGGCAGGCCCGCCGGGTGGGGGGTGGGGGTGGACTCAGGGTCCCGGCTCTGACGTGTCCGGGGCTGACACGTGGAGCTCGGCGCGTGGGGCCGGCGCAGACTCCGGCTCCCTCCCCGCCCAAGAGGACCGCCCGAAACGCCAGCCTCCTGCGCAGGGAGACGGGATGCAGGGTGGGGAGGGGGTCTCGGGAGGGGAGGGGCCTAGTTCCCCAGAACTTCTGACAGTTTTGCAGGGGGTGGGGCGGGGACAGAGACGGCCCGCGGGGGGGGGGGGGGGGGGGGGCGTCCGGAGGTAAAGGGCGCAAGACAGGGGTCCGGAAGGAAGAGGGGCGGCCGGGGCTGAGACCGGGGCAGGAGAAGCCCCGGCTGGCTCCGGGGCGGCGGGCAGCGGGTGGTCTGGGCTGAGGGCCGCCGCACGCTCGGGGGCGCGGGCCCGGGCCGGCGGTGGTACCTGCGGAAGACAAGGATATCCTGGTACTGCGAGCGCTGATGGTGTAGCAGCTGCTCCACCTGCAGCGACAGGGCCTGGCCGGGCCACAGGCTGCACGTCTCGTGGAACCAGCCCTCGTGGATGTCAGCGGGGCCGAAGGCGGCAGGGCCGTCGGGGCCGGGCTCCA